GCCCACCCCCCCCCCCCCCCCAGCCATTACGGCGGCGGCAGTCACGCGCAGGCACCTATGCAGTGCGTTCCAAACACAGGCCTCCGTCGGCAGCTACCAGCAGTGATAGGCCATGTGTGCACACTCCTTCGGCAAACATGGATTTAATTCCCTTCATAAATTTAAGGACAGAGGACAGTCACAGGGCTAACTGGGTTTCCACATTCCCTTCCCAAAAGCTTCACAACTCTCTGGCCGGCAACAGCAGCAAGAGCTGTTTTTCCAACTTCTCCCACTCGAAGATGAACACAAACACGCACTGGTGAGAAAGAGGGGCCATGGTGACGGGCGTGGGCTGCAAGGCCTGGCCCCCGGTGCGGACGCTCAGGGCTTGGGCTGCAAGGCCTGGCCCCCGGTGCAGACGCTCACGGCGTGGGCTGCAAGGCTGGCCCCCCCAGGGTGGACGCTCAGGGCATGGGCTGCAAGGCCTAGCCCCCAGGGCGGATGCTCAGGGCATGGGCTGCAAGGCCTGGCCCCCCAGTGTGGACGCTCACGGCGTGGGCTGCAAGGCTGGCCCCCCCAGGGCAGATGCTCAGGGCGTGGGCTGCAAGGCCTGGCCCCCCAGTGCAGAGGCTCAGGGGCACCGTCACACAGAGAAAAACCCCGAAGAAGAGGCTGTGGTCTTCCTTGTACAGAGACAGGCTAAGGCCCCATTAATGGGCTCCAGGGGGAGCACCAACCCCAGCTGTCCATAAACACAGACAGCCCCACACATGGGACATGGTGTCGAAGCCTCCACGGAACTAGGAATTCCCTATCACACAAATCCCCAGGAAATGGCCACTCCTCTATGAGAACGGACCAGACCATGAGCATGTCCTTCTGCAAAAGCAGCAGGAAAAAGCCCTGCCTAGGTGCCTGCACAGAGGTATCGCTGACACTCCTAGCAGGGGGAGACTGAACGAGTCTCTCCTATCAATGTGTGCACAGGGTAAACACACACAGGTGCACATACATGTGCGCACGCACATACACACACACACCGCACTCAGGTGGAAGGGAAGGGAGTGGCCACGGCAAGGCACAGCACAGAAGGAGCCCGTTTCTCTTCATGACAAGGGGCCACGTGAACCTCGGACGTCTGGGTCAGTCATCACGTGCTCCCACGAGCTGTCTATCTCGCTCCCAGCCACATGGCGGCTGTGCACAGGCTCAGGTCCGCTGTGGCCTTCTTCCTGAGGCCCAGCCACGTTCAGAAGCTGCTCTAAGTCCTCGTTTATGTCGGGGAGAGGAGTCTGCCAGTAACAGTACTGAACACACCCGCCGACCTCCCTGGGCAGGCGTGGCAGCCCAGTCTACAGTGACCGCGGATGGGGAGGCCGTGAATACGGGGAACTGAGACAATCACCAGCCTCAGGAGAGCCTGGTCAACTCCATGCCAGTCAAGGGAGAGCCGCCCACGGGGTTCTCCACCAGGCTGGCAGAGGGGCTACTGACGTGCAGGAAGTCGCTGGCTTCTGCCAACGTCCTTCCCAAGGGTGAATCTGCTCTGTCTGCACTGGCTTTGTTGCACTAAGCAGAACTTAAAGAAGCAAATTTTAGCACCATGGACTAGACTGGAATACAGAAGACCTGAGAACCACAGTCTCTCAAGGCCATCCTCCCCCACGCCAGCTACCCGCCCTCCTGGAGTTGCCATCACGAGACGAGACGAGATCCAGGCAGCCCCTCTGCCCCACTGGGTGAAGGACGTGCATCAACAACCCAAGAGCGCGGGGCCCAACCCTCCAGTATGGTCCAGGGTGAGTGCCCTGGCCTCTGCTCAAGCAGCCCAGGAGCAGGGGCCAGCGTTCCCTGCTCCTCAGTACCTCCACCGGGGGAGGCGCTGGGAAAGAGGAGGTCCTGAAATTGCCAGTCAGCTGTCTGCTACCCCCTGGGAACCCGGGAAGGAGGTGGGCCCGAGGGGAAGATGGACCAGCCTCTGCAAGGACCTGCACTCCCTGAGGTGCAGATCACCCACTCGTAAACAGCTGCCTAATCTGAGCCTGGCCCTCCCCCAGTCGGTTACCATCGGCCGCAGGGCCCATGCGGGTGGCAGGGATGTCACTGTATGTGCTCGTATGGCCTATGTCACCAAAGGTACATTTTGAAGACTATACTTTTCCCAATGTAAATTAGCCAAAGAACTTCATTAATCAAAAAGTAAGAGAAAATTCTCTTTCATAGGTTATTTAATCGCTACTCTCAATGAATATTTTATCTAAATCTGGGAGGCGCGCTAGCTTCATTATTTATGACGCAGTAGTCGTGTCTCAGAATTGTTATTGCGATTACTTTTGCTTCTTTACATAATCAAAGCCCTAATATTCCATCCTGCCTAGAAGGTCACTGCTACAAAAACTCCAGACGAGACCACTGCCAGCGCGTGGGTGGACGCACAGGCAAAGCGGGTCCCAGTCAAGCTCCTGGCTGCCATGCACCTGGTTGAGGAGGCACTCTCACACCTGCCGGGACTGGCTGGCCCAGGGGCACGGTCAGTCTCCCCGGAGGTGCAGGTGGCTGGGGGCTGGATACTCAGGGTGCCGTCCTCTCGGATCAGACACGCCCTGGCAGGGTTTGCAAAGGTGGAAATGAAGGGGCCAAGGGACTGGAAGGCGACCGGGCACACCTGCAACCAGAGAGCGTGCAGTGAACATGGAGGCGGGGCCAGATGGGCCCCAGGCAGAAACAGATGGCTGTTCACCAGGCCGGCTGCTATCCACCAGTTATGTCTAGGCTCATTCACTGCTGTTTAAATTAGGCCCTAAATTGCAAATGAGCTATTTTTCAACAAAATAAATGAAGGTAGTTTTTCTTCTTCCAAAATATTAATTCCACGGTGAATACTACCCAGTGATACACAGTACTTCACAGGCCTCATTAGTCATTATGGGCACGTGAACAACGGTAACAGAAACGGCCCCGATTTGGTCTGGCTCATCCTCCTCGGATTCCCAACCTGTCCGTCACCACGCGTGCTCGCTGTGCGCCGCTCCCCTGGCGCCCACCCCAGAGCTCCCGAGAGTCTAGCCGCTCTTAGACCTCACACAGCCAAAATCGGACCGCCAGTCAGTGCCAGCAGGGACGAGTGACATGGCGCTAAGCCGAGGCCTGGGAGCCAGACGTGCCCAGGCCGGCGCTGCCCATGGCGCCACACCACCCGGCCCCGTCCAGCCCCACCCACAGCACTCACCCATGGGCAGGGGTCACTGACGAGCCCGATGAAGAGTGTGAGAGCACGGCCCGGCCCGGCGGCCCTTGGGGGAGGTGTTGTAGGACACGGCCATGCAGCTCTCCACACAGGCCTTCCGCAGCCCCTAGACGCTACCTGAGCAGAGCTCAAAGAACTTGGGATCTGCCGAGACAGATACAAGAGCTACTCAGATGTGACTGCCCTGGAGAAGGGCAGATGGTTTCAATGACGTGGTGAAGGCATACCAGAAATTAATGACAAAGAAAAAGGAAATACGTATTGTCACAAGGAATTATTTGAAACCCAAACAAGGTATGACAAATAAGTAGAAGAAACATGCCCTTTACCTCCAAGTTTTAGTAAATGATTTGGTTAACTGTAAGAACATAACAGAGAAAGCCTCCCCCAAAAGGCAGAATAGCTGATACCGGTTACATGAACTGTAGCGAAACATTGCAGAGACCCTGAAACCAACGGATGTCCCACCCGCCTCGCCCCTCCTGGCACCCATGTCTCAACGAGGGCACTTTGCAGCTCTGAGTGACAGGAGGAGGCTGTTAAAACTGACAGCTGTGCAGCAATTTCTGCCCACCAAGACACAGGGCGTGTCCAGAGGGACCGACTGAGCGCCACCCGCGTACGGCCGGTTATGAAGCCCTCAGAAGCTCTTTGGCATTCTCCGGTCTGACTGTAACTGGGTGCCACTTTGAGCTCATCATCAAACCAGTTCTACGTCTCCCTGGTTTCACTGAAAACTGAGTTAAGTAAAATCTTCGACGCATGTTCATCTTACGTCTACATAGAAGCCATAATTACATCCTCTTCTAAAACGTATCCTTGAAACGGGCTTTATTTTCAATATCCTACTGTAAAAGAATTAGCCCGAGATGCCTCACAAGTGGGAAGACGGCCGGTTGTGGGAACAGCCCTCTGTAGACAGGTCCGGACGCTGGCCTGTGCTTCTCTCAGATAGAGTAGACCGTAACGCTCACTGCATGTTCGAAGGAAGCGCCTATCACGAATTATTCTTGGGTTAAACTGCGTTGACATGGCTTTTACTTTAAATAAAATAAAATGAGCTTCTGAACTTAAATTTAAGAGTAAACTGAAAGATCATACTTTTTGAGAAAAGCAGGTTGTATATGAAAAATGGAAAATTTCCCATACCAAAAACTTCTCAGTGGCTTCTAGTCCAAAAGCATGACAAATGTCACCAAAACTCGTAGCACATGCCTTAAAAAGGCAAAGACATACCCATTATTCTCATCTCTCTTTCTGTCTTAGCAAATTGTAAAAACCAACAAGTAGGACCCTAGAACACTGAGCCCTCCAGCTGGGCCACGAGCAGCCCTCACTGAGACCTCACGGCTGTAGGGCAGGGGCCTCTGCTGCGTCAAAGTGGGCCTTTCTGGCTCCTAAATGATCTTGGTACAGAACGCACTTGGCTGGTGACAGCGCGACCAAGCCCTGAGCACCCTGCACACACGTGAGACCTGTGGTCCTGCCGTGCACCAGAAAGAGGGACCAGCAGGCAATGTGGGGCTGTCCAGGGAGGGCTGCTGACAGCCTCGGAGTGAAGAATCTGACAACCAAAGGACGGCGACAGAAAGGGAAGGCGGGGCTGGGGTCGGAACATCCAGCAAAGGTGAGAGGGTTCTGACACGAATCACCCCAGAAAATCAAAGACTTTGCTTATGTCTGGGTAACAGGATCTACACGCAGCGAGTGAAGGCCCCAACCCTCCTCCCGTGCCCACGGCCCACACGTCTGCTTGCACAGACTCTTCCCCTGGTCTCTGCGCACTCCCGAACTGCAGCAAGAACTGGCCACACGGCCAGACCTTTCCCTTGCAGGTCGCGCTGTCCCCACTGCTCCTCCAGACCACATCTACCGGAGAAGTCCAGGAACTTTAGAGGATCAGTGTTGAACATTTCAGCACCAGGAGTTTTGAATGCTATGTTCCCACCTTTCGGACTTAAAAGAGCTTCCCATCATTGCACGGCTCACAGAAGCGGGGCAGCAGGTGCTCACGTGTGCTTTTACTCAGCACTGAAGCCACTCTGCAGGTGACCTAGAATAACAGGAAAATGAGGATCACTTGAGAGACAAGCATGTAAGTCACATACACTAGCGAGATACACTCTAAAAGCAAACACTCAAAATAGTGCCAAAACATCCAGGAAGGAAAAGTAAAGGATACTTTCTTCTGAGTGTGTTGTGTTACATGATCAGTGGAAGGCCGAGTCCCTCCAGGCTTACTCAGGCAGGTTTGTCTGAAGCTCGGGGTCACTGTCTGCCAGGTACGGCCATGTGCCCAGCAGATGGATGGACATTCATGTGCGCTGGTCACTTCACCTCCCAAGACCTCCCGTTCTTCCTCCGAGGAGACCACGGTTAAGGACCGTGACAAAGAAGCAAGGGGTGGGGGTTACGAGAAATGGCAGGGCACGGTAGGCCCTGGGGACGGCCAGGCACTGGCAGAAACCAAAAAGAAAGAAGATCCTTGAAAGAAGACAGCTGTGCTGGGTAAGACGTGCGCTTGCACTGCTCTCCCGAGGGCGCCCCCTCTCTGCACGGCCGCGTGGGGCAGCCAGACCTCCAGCGACAGCTCCAATTGTCCTGGCCTGCCACAGTCGGAGTGTGAACAGAGAGCCAGGCAGCCCCAGCAGCTGGGAAGTATGGGTGAGAATTCTAGGAAGGAAGCAGCGGGAGCCACGAGAAGGAGAACCCCAAACCTGAGACTAAACCCTGCCCCAGCCTTGACTGACCTCAGAAGCGCACGGGGTGGGGAACGGTGGACCCACAGAGAAAGCAGTGACTGGAGGCTGGCAGGATGGAGTAGCCTGGGCTGCTGCTGGTTACAGGAAAGAGTCATTCCAAACTGCTTCCTGAGACAAAGTCGGAACCACAAACACCTTAAATGCAGACGTGCTAGGCTGAGAGTAAGAGAACATCAGCACATACACCGGAACAACAGCACGAGGACGCGGGGGCAGCTACAGTAACCCCCAGTGGACAGCAGGCCTGGATTACTGTCAGGAATACTGGGGTTTTATACGTATTGTACTTTTATGTATTTATTGTTAGATAATTATTTTATTTAACTTTATTGTTTTTATTTTAATGTTTCTAGAGAGAGACAGAGAGGGAAAAAAGAGGGAGAGATAAAGTAGAAAAGCAAGCCCAGGTCTGAGACTTGAACCATACTCAGCCACGTGGGAGTCCAGCGCTCTTAAACATCATGCCACCTACTGGCCTCCAACAAAATCTCTCTTTAAAAAAAAAAGAAAGAAAGAAAATAGAGGTCAGCAGGTGGTGTGGTTGTTAAGAGCGCGGGACTCTCACATGGCTGACCGTGGTTTGAGTCTCAGACCTGGCAGCTTGCTCTCTGTTTCCCTCTCTCTCTTTCTCTCTCTCTGTCCCTCTCTGGTCAAATTAAGAATAAGTAAATAGAGTTAAATAAAACAATTCTTTAAAATTTTAAAAAAAGAGAGAGATTTTTGCTATAGAACGTGTGCACTTATCGGAGAGACAGAGAGACAGAAAGTGAGAATCACCCCCCAGGGGGATAGCCACGCCACAATCCCTTCTCCTCCATTCTTCTCTTGGGACTTAGGCACACCTACACACTGCCCAGCTAAGTTTTAAGCCACTGGGTCTGGGACTCAAATCACGGTTGATGTGGAAGCCCAGCAACGTAACCACTACGGCATCTACGGGTCCTAAGATGTCTATTTTCTTTATTCATGATCAAGCATATTCACAAGCACACGAGAGAGGCACACCCCTGAGAGGGGCTGGTCATGCCGGGGTCCTCTCCCTCCGATCCTCCAGCCCACTGGACTTTAGGCACTTCGCTGCACACCTAGTGTGTTTCTGGCTGATTGGGCTGGAGATCTGAACCACAGTCGCCACATGTTGTTCAGATCCTCTCTACTGAGCTGGCCCAGAGATATTTCTTAATGATAAAAAGGCCAACATATCACAAAACAAACATTAAATATGTAAGTCTGAATGACTAAAATGAAAATGAAGGCAGGCTTCAAAATATACTCCTAGTTAGCTTCAAGAAGCTAGGAGAATATAAGCAAACTGAACTAAAGAAAGCAGAGGAAAGATATAATAACCGAAATCAGTGAAAAGGAAACAAGCAATAAAGAAAATTGACAAAGCCAAAATCGGTTTGAAAGCATTGATAAAATTGATACGCCTTTAGCAAGATCAAGGAAAAAACCGGAGAGAATGCCAATGACCGGCATCATAAAAGAAAGGAGAAAACAGTACAGATCTTACAGACGTTAAAAAGTGAATGAATAGTGTGACAGACCCTAGCCCAGAGATCTGACAACTTAGATAAAATGAACACATTCCCTAAAATACGAAACACAGATAACACAGATGAAATTACAAATCTCAGTTGAACCTGCTATCAAAAACCATCTCACAAAGAAAACTCTACGCCTAAAGGTTTTACTGGTGAAGTCTACCAAATAGTTAAGGAAAAAAATAAATAAATAACTCCAATCTTAGAATCTTTCAGAAAACAGAAGAGGGAACATTTCCCACCTCATTTTAAAGATTAGAATAACCCTAATTCTAAAACCTGACCAAGATATAACAGGAAAAAAAAAAAATCTAGAGTCATCTTCTTGAATTTGTATGTGAAAATCCTCCAGAAAATGTTGCTGAACTATGGAGAAGGGAACACCTCACGGAGAACGCCCGCTAGAATCCGCAGACATTACGGCTAGCAGGTGAACGCTGGGCGAGGGAAGGTGCACTGACGTAGTCTCAAGGTGACCTCGTGGCTTCCAGAGAGGGAATGGAGCCTTGGGAAAACTTGGTGAACACCACCTCTATCCACTAATCATCAGAGGTAAGTGGCCAGTGTCAGGACAGCTGCCGTCCTGCGCCTCCTTCCGTGGCACACTGAGAAGAGGGCGTTTCCGTGGTATTTCTGTCGGAAAGACAGAGTTGGAATCCAGTCATGAGAAAACATCAGACAAAGCCGAACTGGGAGACTCTCTACAAAAGGATGTGGAAAAGGTACAAAAGAACGCACTCCTCCAACATGCTGATGTTACAAAATTCAAAGGCTCGGGACTGTTCCCGGTTAATGAAAACCGAAGAGAGAACGGCTCAACGCAACGCGTGAGCATAGGCCAGGTCGGACAGAAGACAACATGTGACCACACACCGCTGGTGGGACGTTAGCGCCACAGCAGTGTCAAAGTTCCTGATTTTGACCCCTGCCCTGCAGTTGTGCAAAAGAGAATCTCCTTGTTTTGGGATGTACAGACTAAAGTATCAAGTCGTCGAAAAGTCATACTGTGTAGTTTCTATGCAAAAAATGCATCACAACTCTCCCGACCCAGTACCCAGATATAAAGGGGCCCAGTGTGTCCCACTCACCTTCAGATGTCTCAGGAAAAGACAAATGTAGGGACCAGCAGTTAGCGTAACGGCTGTGTCGCTGGACTCCCATGTAGTCGACCACGGTTTGTCCCAGACCCGGTGGCTTAAACTCACGCCGGGCGCATGTGCGTGCATGCCCAAGATCCCGAGAGGAGAATGGAGGAGAAGGAATTGCAGTGTGGCCATCCCCCTTGGGGGTGATTTCTCGCTTTCTATCTCTCTGTCTCTGTCTTTCTGGTGAGTGCACACGCCCTATAGCAGAAACCTCTAAAAAAAGAAAAAGATAAATGTATATACATGTTGTGTGTGCTCGCACACGCATGCAGATGTGCACGTGGAGAACACGTGACAGAGCTGAACGTGAGCTCCCAGAGAAGCTGGGTACAGGGTAGACAGGAGCTCATACTTCTACACTTGCAATTTTATGCAAGTTTGAATTAAAACTAAAGAAAAAGTTACTTCCCAAAATGTGAAAAGAACCCCCCTGCTCTGCCCCCTCAAAAAAGGAAAAGAAAAAAACAGAGAAGACAAAAGGAAAAGATCAAGGAAGACACAGAAGGAGGGCTGAAGGAGAGATGGAGGGAAGGGGAAGGGAAGCCGGAGGAGACCCCTCTGGGCACTGTTTTCTCCCTGTGCACTCGGCACTGCCATTTCACACTAAAACAATGTCCTCAGAGGGGCCAGCAGACGGTGCGGTGAACTAAGGCGCAGGACTCTCACAGGGTCGACCGCGATTTGCCCTGCGGCTTAAAAATGACACCAGGCCTGTGTGCATGTGTACCCAAAGTCTGGAGAGGAGAATGGAGAAGGGATCACGGTGTGGCCATCCTGCTGGGGTGAGGGGGGCTGATTTCTCCCTTTCTCTCTGTCTGCCTCTGTCTTTCCCACACGCACACACACTATGGTAAAAAGCTTTAAACAAAAAGGCTTCAGTTAGTAGTAATCTACTCCCTCTCTTATTTGCAGTTCACTCACAAACGAAGGGGAAAGAAAACCAATCAGGGTGGGGGTAAGGGGACTAGCCTCATCACACAAATAAGGAAAAGCTTTATGTCGTCAGAAGTTAGAGAACTCCTTATTTCTTAGCCGATGCCTTCGAGTCACACGAAGTGACAGCCACGGTAAATGAGGATGCGAGGTTGCTGTATCCAGGGCAACAGCAGTGGAAGGTCCCCAGTACCTCCATCCACCTCTGCCTGCCACACCCACGTGACCTTCTTACCACCCAGTATAAAACAAATTCAGAATCGTTAAAAGTCAGCAAACAGGGACAAGAAATGATATTCCCGTGGCCCTGGGAACCACTTGTATAGAATGCAATCTTCACGTAGTTGCTTGGAGGTAACTATTCTGAATAGCACATAAACACATTCTTTTTAAATAAACGCACAAATAAAAATGAGCTTAAAAATAGGAATGACAACAAAAAATGAGGAAGCCTTAATGTGTTGAGAGAGAAAAATAGGTTTCTGACAATTAGTCACCATCTCAGAATGCTAACAGCCTCCCTGCAAGCACGGGGAATCATAATTGGTCTCCGGTGGCCGGTTTACCCTATCTACATAGAATTACAAACCACGGCACTCGCCGCTCTGACCGATCGTCCAGCCAGCAGCGGGCATCTGTCTAGGACTGACGCTGCGCCCGAGAGCGCAG